AGCCGGAGACCAAGAAGCGCAAGGCAGAGAAACGTGAGATCCTGAATGAGATTCCGAGCGTCACAGTCTTGCGCCTTCGCATTCAGGACGTGTTCCAGCAGCTCTATCGAGATGGCGTTGTGCAGCTGGACCCGACAAGGGATGGCTACTTCCACGTCATCCGCTTGTGCCTCAACCAGCCACCTCCTGGAGTGTCATTGGCCATGTTGATGCACACGCTGGTGGTCAAGACGGGGACAATGGGCGCTCTGGTTGCTGCGTCTTCGCCTTCGCCCTCGCCCTCGCCTTCGCCTTCGCCGACTACTTCGCCGACGGCTTCCTTGACTTTCTACACCATCGAGGATGAGGCGATTCACAACAAGGTGGCGAAGATCGTTTTGAGAAACGCCAACCTTGATGCCTCGGCGATTGGCGTGGACATGGTCAGCCCGGCTTCTCCTGGAGGCTCGATGTCAGGCATGTCTGCCGGATCCACCGGGATGCCGTTGCCGCCTGGTCGACAGATCTACCTGTTTGATCTTTCTCCTGCAGCTATGCTGGCGTGGATCTGTATGGGGAAGGAGTACAACGAAGGCCGTCGCATTCCCATTCGGCTTCATCGCACCGCCTCCATCACTCCTGACATGAGCATGCAGTACTTCTCACGTGCCGTGTCTCCCCTGTGTGTGCCCAGGCGGCAAGAGGGGTACCAATCACGCACGCCCTTACCAAGACATGATTTGATGTAGTGACCCTTCAAAACACTGAAAGGACCCTTAAAGTCATTGTTGGCTCAGCATGTCATTTGGAAGGGTCAACATATTGTTTCTAAGGGTCTGTGCATGGGATGGGTTGCAGAGAATTGAGTTTGTGTGCTGCCTTCTAAGGATTTCTGGCTGGGGCCTTCGACTCTCTTCAGCACTACCGTCGTTGAGTGCGAGATTTGCATCATCTGCACTTGCGAGATGGACATGGACACGGCTACTATTGAGATGAAGAAGCAGTCGCTTGCGAAGCAGATCTCGAACTTGACAGTCAGAATTCTGAGTGAAGAGCAGGAGTTGGCGGATGACAAAGCCGTCTTGGCACGCCTTCGTTCGGAGCTTTCCGGCCTCTCGACGACTTCGCCGCTGGCTGGCGTGACAGCAAGCGCAGCGAACAATGAAGCATGATTGGGCAAGATTGGCGTAGGGTGTGCGCTCTCATGTTCGACTCAGCAATTATTATTATATAATAAGACTGATCAACAATGTTGGGGTTGTTTTGCTGGACTGTCATAATGCTGTGGGAGCGCCGCCTTCGCCTTCTAGGAGATGCCCTGTATAAGTTCTGCCAGAGATTGCTCGGCAGTAGGTTTGGGAAGATGGAGCTTCGATGAAGAACATGAAGCTTCAAGCGGGATCTGGCTATCATCAGACAAAAATGCTGCAAGCGAGCGTGATTGCATGGCAGAATTGTAGGTTCTGTACGGAATTTCTGCATGAACGGTTGTCATGGATAATATTTCTCACCTTTCGAAGCTATGCCACTACCCTTGCACGCAGCCAGGCTGTGATGTCGCGCTTCGAAAGGTGCGCCCGATGCTTTGAAGGGTGTTTCTTGCAAGCAGTATTTGTGTGAATCTGTGCTCACTGAGTATTGTCAAAATGCCAGGGCTTTCCGAACCGTTCAGCCTGTCGCGCATGGCCTCCGAGGGCGGGCAGTGCGCATGTTGCTGGGGCGTCTGCGTTGAAGTTGTGATTGGGCAGGCTTGCGAGCAAGGCGGTTTGTTGTTTGAGGCCTTCGGCTCGAAGCTGCGCAACAAGCTGCGCAACGACATCTGATAGCCAAATCCCAACAGGCAGTCAAAACTCCTAAACCCTTTAAGGACCATGACATCATCAAACATGGCAAGATGGTATGGTGCAAGACTTGAGTGCTAGCAGCGTGTCGTTGCAGCTTGCTGTCCT